AAATGCTTCGGTAAATGTATCACAAGCCATAGCGGTTCATGCTGTCAACTGCGGCGCTCATGTGAGGTTCCCGCATAGCCAAGGCAAAGCAAAACCGTAAAGTAGTCCTGACGATCACAATGATGTACCATCCGTTGACGGGCCTGATCCCATCTGACAAATTTCCACCGCGGTAGAGGCAGCCTCTCTCGGATGCTGGCCTTGTGCTGCAGCACGCTGTCGCCCAGCTGCTCCTGAAAAGTGCCCAAGAAGCATCTGCGTCGAGCATTTCAAGCCGACTCCCTTGGCTATCAGGGTCACCACGTGTTCCTCCAGCGCGATCTCGAATTTCATAACTGTCATTTTTTCTCTTCTGTCGGAGCTCTGCCAGCTCCTCAGCGTGGCGCCGCTGCATCGCTGCCAGCGACTCGTTGCCTGTTACTTCGGCCATACTTGGAATCCTCGCTGTGTTATAACTAGTTATCTTGGTTAACATGAGTTAAGTATTTTTTTATAACTAGTTAGGTGGAGTTAGCTAACTAGTTATAACTCTGTTTTTGGGTGTGGCTTTCGTGGCAAATACTTACACTAAATATATGGGATGGAACAGCCATGAAGTATGGGAGCAATGTGGAAATCGGCTGGCCATATAGGCTTTCACATGGGTTATATGTCATACGTAGCTGGCCATATATAGGCGGTGTCATGGATATCTTGTGAGCAAGAGGGCCTTTTAAAAAAAGAATGAGAAAGGCATCAGCTGAAAGCTTATACAAACCATGCATGAAAACGAACCCTAAACCCCCCTTTGGAAGTCCAAATCTCCAGGTAGGCACGATGATCAGGGCGAAACCCAAACCTGCACTCAATAGGTGAAGCATGGATGTTTCACAGCCTGCAGTTGAGCTGGTACGGGATGAGCACCGTGGCCTCTTGGTCTGAGGCTTTACTATACAGCAGTGGGTACTGGATGGAGTCGATGGGAACGAAGCCTTGCTCGTTCGTGATGGTGCATTTCGCAGAGTGGGATGCTTTGTTCACCGTGGGAGTCCACCGCTGGAGAAGTGTGACCTGTTGAGCACCCACTTCCAAGTGGAACCAAACTTGGCCGACTTCCCAACGTCCGTCTTGCTGCTGGAAGACAACCACATCGTGGGCATGAATGGTGCCACCTTTGGCAAGCTTCGCACTCGAAGCAACCATGGCTTCGTTCAATGGGCCATCCACGAAGTCGCGGAGGACTTGGACTTGCTGCTTGGTAGCTTTCTTTGGCTTCAGCAGCTGGCAGGTGTCCGGGTGCAGACCTGGCTCCTTCAAAGTGGTGATCTCCATGGCCACGACCTGCTGCATCAAATGGCTTTCGAAAGCCGTGGTCTTCTGCAAGTTGGTGGCATACTTGGCAATGGTTTTGTGCTTGCGCTCAGTGGTGAAAGTGCTTGGCAACATCCCATACCTCTCCAAGAAATCAGGCAGGTGCAGAAGCCAGTGCCACTTCTTTATTAAGGAAACTCCGAAGTTGGCTTCCACGAAACTCTGGATGGCCAACTCAGCAGCTGGTAGTAGGCTTGCCCTGGTAGTGGCCCCATACATGGTTCCTTGGTGCACCTGGTCGAGCAGGTCTGCATGGGCCAAGAATGCCTCGCAGGCCTTAATGGGGCAGCCGCCCACCGGCATAACCATGGTGTGGAGATAATGCCGCACAATGGGGAATATACTCAAGAGGTCGCTGGCCTGGCAGGAAAACTTATAACTTGCCTGGTGTTTGCTCACCATCCTGGAGGAAAACAAAGCTTTCAGGTGCCCTGCTTTGGAAGCCCCTGGACAGGACCAGAGCTGGATGTACTTTTCCATGGAATCCCAAGCATTGAAACCCATTGCCATGCCAATGGTCTCCATTGTCTGGAAGAGGACGACAGGGCCAGTGCCTTGCAAGATCCCATGCATCCAATCGTGGCAAAACTGGCTCACTGGTCGAATGTGGCCTCTGGACAACAGCGGCTGGTTCAAGAGGAGGGCATGGGCATTCCACGTCCACCCTGCGGCCTGCTGCCAGTGCTGGAAATCCGCCTTGGTGCATGTTTGCTGCCGTTGGTCCAAACGATGGTAGGACTGGATGACCTCAGTGTCAGTTGTCAAGCGCAGTTGGTGGTATTTGGTCGTCGCATGGTCAATGGCATCCTGGCCTGCAGCCATGGTGGCTGCTGAGTGGATGTTTGCGCATAACATGCAAAATCGGGTACCAGCTTCGCCTTTGGAAGACCAGATCTGCTTCTGGGCAGCCCCATCAGCGAGGCATATACCCCAATTGAAATGGAGGCGGATGTTGCCCATGGGCCCATGTGGACTTTTCAAGAGCAGGCCTCCACATGGTTCAGCCATGGGGCAGCAAAAGATGGCTTCCAGAATCTTGGCGAACACCTGGCCGATGCCACCTGGCAATTGGGCCACGAAGGTGGATCTTTCTAGGCTGATGGTCAGCCACATGTCTTCGTGGCCCATGGCTTCTTGGCCTAGCTGGAGGAATGTGGCGTAAATGGCCCATAGCTTGCGTTCAGCACGACCAAGAACATTGCCAGGGATCACCTCGTCGCAATACAAGATCAAGGACCAGGGCTGGTCCAGCGACGAGGGATTGGCCGCATGCTTCCTTTGGAGCAGATCATGGAAGCTGCCCCCCATGGCGAAAAGACTGGTGATATAGACCAGAAGGTTGGAAAAATTGATGGTCACTGTGGCACCGTCGCTCATGGGCAGTTCTGCCTGCTGGATCAATGGTCCCAGGGGGCCGCCATCACAGCTTTCAAGAAGCTGTTGCCGTGCCTTTCGCTGGTCGTTGGAAGAACTGGCTTCCGGGAGGCCCTGCTCTTTGGCTGCTTTGACGAAGCCCGCCAAAGCACTTTGGGAATGGCCTGGCAGGCTGGCCTTGAACGTCAGAAGGTGTTGAAGTTTGGCTTTCTTTTTGGAAGGCTCCATGGTCACCCAGGGCTTCGGACAGTGCCTACTTGGTTTACAAATGATGGATCCGAACTTCTTATATATATATATGTAAACACATACTTTAAGATATTTCGATGTATCTGAGCTGTCTGCATCCATCTGGTGTGCACGTAATCAACGGGAAACGTTCCATAGACAAGCATATATATATATATATATATATGCACGGTTTTGCAGAGGGGAGCTCGGGGCACCATGTTGAAACATATATAGTCCTGCATGCATTGCCTCTGCTGGTACTTCTTGTTTGGAGCAACAAGCTTCACGGACAGAAGTCATGCATTCTCAGAGCTGGCAGGACAGAAATGGAAAGGGCACTCACCGATTGCTATGTCGCCAAAAAGAAACCCTGCATGCCATATAGAGGCCCTTTGTCAGGAATATATGATTCTTGCAGTATCATACCTCAAGAGAAATACATATATTCCAGCTACAAGAAGAAATTGACCGTCCACAGACGTCAAATTCATGCTCGCACATGAAATATATATATATATATATATATGTATAGATATAAAAGTATATATATGCATATAAGACTATATATACATATATGTATATATATATACATATAAATATGTATATTTATTGCATGTATATAGGCATATATTTTTCAGTTATTGAATGAAAAGCGAAAGTAATTGGAGAAATAGAACCTTTATTATATATGCGACATAAACCATTGTATACACCATTTCTATATATATATATATATACGTGTGTGTGTGTCTGTGTATCTCTACACGGAGACGACAGCGAGAGAGAGAGAGAGAGAGAGAGAGAGAGAGAGAGAGAGAGAGAGAGAGAGAGAGAGAGAGAGAGAGAGAGAGAGAGAGAGAGAGAGAGAGAGAGAGAGAGAGAGAGAGACGAGCATGCAAAGCAAACAACTTGCGAGAAACTTTTGCCCCAATGCAAGGCCCCGTGGTTAAGCCAACGGATCTGGTCAGCCAAAATGGCCAATTATGGTGACACGGGAGGTCTCCCCGCCATGGCCCTGGAGCTCACTTGGCCATCCTGGCCTTTCGGGCCATATGGGCCCGATAGGCTTCTCGGCCTGGGAGCCGCAGGCCTGTGTACGTTGGGCTCAGGCACTGCCCACAACCGCTTGGATTCCCTCGGCATTTGGGGCACCCGAAAATCGGTGGATCCCGCTTGTGCGGCGGCAGGTGGTCCTGGTTCTTGGCCACTGGCTTCGCTTGGTTCGCCTTTGCCTTGGGGGTGGCCTTGGCCTTGGCCTTAGCCTTGGGATTGGCCTTAGCCTTGGGATTGGCCTTAGCCTTGGGATTGGCCTTAGCCTTGGGATTGGCCTTGGCCTTGGCCTTGGCTTTGGCCTTCGCTTTGGCTTTTGCCTTTGGCACGGCCTTCTCTTTGGCCTCAAGCTTCCTCTTCCTGAGTTCCTCGAAGTGCTGGTCCTCAAACTCCTGCAAAGTCTTTGGCTTGGAATTGCAGGGCTTCTCCGTACACATGTCTGGCTCGGCTGTGGCGAGCATGGGATCCGGCGGCACTGCTGCTTGGCTGCCCGCCTCATCATGGGCCGTAGCAGAAGTCTGCTGCAGTGCTGTTTGCTGCGACGGCTGCTGCAGCTGCAGTGGCTGGGGCGAGGGCTGCTGCAGTTGCAGTGGCTGCTGCGAGGGCTGCTGCAGCTGCACTGGCTGCTGCAACGGCTGCTGCTGCTGCAGCGGCTGCTGCTGCTGCAGCGGCTGCTGCTGCAGCGGCTGCTGCTGACCGCTTGGTTCTGCTCGTTCTGCACCGGCAGAAGTGCAAGCTGCGATGGTTGCTGCTGCGGTGTTGGCAGGTTCTGCAGAGCCAGCCGGTCCTGGCGAGGCTGCAAGAGTTTAATCTCTGGCTCTGCAGGTGGTGAAGCCCACCGTTCTGCCAATTGGGAGAGCATTTGGGCAGCTTTGGCCAGATGGTCATGGCTTCCATGTGCCTTGTTGGACTCCGCCGGCACATGATAGCCAACCAGCAAACGATGGTTCTTCCTCATGGGCACCTTCCTGTACCAAGCATGCAGAGGAAGCTTTTTATTGGCTGGACTGCAGCCATTCGTGTATGCTTGGCTCAGCCAGGCCTCGCCATTCTGGAGAGGATCCTCCGAGTAAGTGGCCAGTTTGGGCACAGTCAATCTTGGCCGTGCCGTGGAAGATGGCCTGGAAGTCGTCTACCATGGAATGTATGGCCCTCGGCTGCATCTGTGGTTGGCCTCGGCTGTGGTTGACGTAGAGCAGGGTGGCGAGCACCTGGTGCACCGTGTTCTCCTTCAGGGAGGTAAGGCCCATTGCTCGGAGCCTTTTGGCCATGACAGACATCTGGTCATCCTTGGATACGGCAGATTCGAGAGCCTGCCAATCCGCCGTGGTCAAGTATGCTGGCACATGGACTATCTTCTGGCCGCAAGTGGAGAGCTTGATGTGGGAGGCTTCGTTGGTCTGGCATGTCTCAACGGCCTCCTGGATGCTCTCCTTTATGGCATCTGGCAGCTCCATGCTTTGGACTTCACCGATCAATTGGATGATGCCTGCCGATGTCCAATTCTTGGCCGCACGGATCCTTTCCACGAATGTGGTCGCCATGGTAGTGACGACCAGGCTCCCTGGCCGCATCTTAGTGAGCTGGCCCAGATGGCGAAGTTCAGACAAAAAGTCAGAAATGCTCCACACTTGGGACATGCCGGCACAAGTGTGGTCCTAAAACAAATTGGAATGCAGGCCAAGGTGGCTGCGAGGATGGCAGAGAAAGCACATCTCAAGCAATCTATAGCGGCACGTTGAAAGGCACATCCTATAGATACATTAGGACACACAGAAGACATGTATATGTAAAGACAGATATGCATGTCTATATATGTATATACACATAAAATATATGTCTGTGTCTCTTTATGTATGGACAACAACAGAAAACTGTACAGAATATAGAACACAGCGATTGTTGATTCTGGAAGGAGACATCATGCAAGCCAAAGTTGTCTGGATTTCTGCCAAAACAACATGAAGTTCGTGAGAGTTTAGATGAAGAAGAAAAGACACACACACACACACACACCCATGTACGGATACCATGTGAAACATATACAGTATCCAGCTTTTTTGGCTAGCCAACAGAAAGAATGTGTATATATATATATAAGTTATATAGTTCAATTAAATGAATGTATGTATATATAAAGATGTACATATGTAGGTAAACAGACAGATACACATATATATATATATATATATATAGATATCTAAGTAATTATATATTATGTAGAAGACTCTATATGGAAAGGAAAAAAACAAAGTGGCTAGCCATGTGGCTTTATCACCATCTATACGTTTGCTTATATATATATATATATATATATAAGCACAGTGATTGTATGTAACTGGGTATATAGGTGTGTATAATGAAACAAATATATGTATGTATGTGTATATATACACACACATACGTACATATAGACACATATACATGTATGCAGCCTACATTATTATACACAGAAAGAAGAAACACATATATATATATATATATATATACAGATAGATAGATATAAACATATATGTGTATATATATATATATATATTTATACATATATAGAGAGAGAAAGAAAACAAAAACAACCAATAAGTTTGATTCTTTCTGTATAGTTACTGTGCTGGCCACAAAAATGGCGAACTGTGCTGGCCACAAAAAATGGCGAAGTGTGCTGGCCACAAAACTGGCGAATACATGACATGGACATGGTGCATGCACGGACCTCTGGTGTTTTACTGGTGCTGCCTGAAGCGGTCTGGCTGCAGTGGGTCATGGCCGTGCTCCTCCACCACCATGGCATGCTCAGCCAAGTACTGGGCCATCTGGGACTCCGTGCTGAACCTGAACCTTAATGGACAGCGGTTGTGTCGGTCGAAAAAAACGAACTTGGACTATTGTTTCAAACTCCTTTCAAAGAAAGCTTATCTGGGGCTTAGCTTATTTATGGCTTTCCGATCCATATTTATCTCAGCAATGCTTTAGAAAAGATTCGGAACTATATGGTTTCTGGAAAACCTAAACAATCAGGTCCATGGTGCCACTGGTAGAGTCTGTGGCAGCGAGCATAGTCGCCCTGGGTCCAATGGTCAATGAACCATTGGACCTTCCTGGCCCACGTTGGTTTCCCGTCCAGCCACAGCACTGGTTCGTGGTCATGGAGCTCCTTTTGGAAGCTGCTGCACAGCTCCTGGACCCCTCTCCAATCTTCTTGGCTGTATCTGGTCAACAGCCAACATGCTTTGTGTTTCCAGCCTGTGTGTCGGTGTGGCACATCCGGCATGGCACCGGCTGGTGCAGCAGCAGTGGGTCGCCTGGCCTTTGGTGGTTCTTTTCCCACTTGCTTTGGCCCGAATCCAGGTGGTGGGTAGTCTGGTTCTCGTGGCTGCAGCTTGGGCGGCGGTCCTTGGAAAGCCCATGGGTCGTGGGAGGAGGTGGCCGGCTCTGGTGTTTGCTTCGGTGGCGGAACGACCATGGGTGTGTGGCCCAATGCTTGCTTTCGGAATGCGGCCGGGATGTTGGATTCTTTGCCTTTGCCTTTGCCCTTCATAACGTTGGCTTTGCTGATTGGGCCCACTGGTCGAGTGGGTTCCATTGGTGGCCTCGCCGCTTCCGTTGCTGACTTTGCTGGTTCCTTTGGTTGTCGCCGCCAGGGAGGTTGCTGCTGCTGTGGCTGTTGCTCTGCTGCGGGTGGCTGCTGCCGTGGCTGCTGCTGTGTTGTTGGCCCGGCTGCTTGGGATGGTGGTTGTTGCTGTTCCTTCCCAGGGCCTTGTTGTTCTGTTGGTGGTGCTGCCTGCTGTGCTGGTCTTGCTGCGGCCTCTGCTGGGGGTTGTCGTGGCTGACTGGGTCCCCTGCCTCCGAACGTTACCTCCATGCTGTGTGTGGTTGCCTCTGGCTGCCAACCATGGACCCATTCAGCTGGAGGAAATGCTGCCGCTGGAGGCACCATCGGTTGCAGCAGTGGTGCTGCTGAAGGCAGGCATGGTGCCACTGGGGGCACCATTGGTCCAACTGAAGGCAGCCATGCTGCTCTTCGGAGGCACCAATGGTGCTGTCGGAGCCAGCAATGGTGCTGTTGGAGGCACCAAGGGTTCTGTTGGAGGCACCAGTGGTGCTGTCGGCCCAAACTGTCCCAGCACTGGTCCCATTCGGCCCAGCACCGCTGCTTGTTGGGCAGCAGCCTGTAGGTTCACCCAATCTGGTGGTGTCGGCCATGCGAAGACTTGGGTCCGTGCCTTGGCCGTGGACCTCTCCTGCACCACTGTCTCATGGGAGACTTCACTCATCGCAGGGCTGTGGGCTCTGACTCGGTGTCGTCGGCACCACAGTCCTGTTGCCGGTGGAGGTCACGTGGAGAAATGGAAAACGCCAAACAATGGCTTATTGCACTTAGGATTGTAATTGCAATCCTAAGTGCAGAAATTTTGCACTTAGGATTGTAATTGCAATCCTAAGTGCAGAAATTCTGCACTTAGGATTGTAATTGCAATCCTAAGTGCAAAGCTCTTGTACTTAGGATTGTTGGTGCAATCCTGAATGCAACCACTGTTTGTTGAACACTGCTTGTAAGTTTCCATCTACTCAGTCTGCTCGCATGGTCTGGGTGAGGCTTGTTTGGTGCTTGCGACTCTACTGAACCGCTGGAGAGAACGGGCTCGGATTACAACATTATGTGATGCACATGTGCCTGCGACTGGGGTCTGCTACCAGCTCACACTGGCACTCGGACAGGAGATGCATGCACTATAGGGCTGCTGGGTTTCACATTGCTTATGGTGCTGCACTGGTTGCTGGGACTGGTGTTGGAGTTTGCTGGCCATGATGGCTATATCCATATAAAACAAAAACTGGCCACGATGGCTGTCTTTCAATATGTGGATGAGAAATCTAAAGAAGCTGGCCATGATGGCTGTGGCTACATATAAATGTAAAACAATATGAACATGCTGGCCACACTGGCAATGGGTATACTGGCCATTCTGGCAACAAATCTGTATAAGTAGCAGTATATATACACTAGAATATATATATATATATATATATATATATCTGAGTCTGTATATATATATATATATATCTGTCTGTATAAAAAATGATACATATATATATATATATATATATATATTCCTGTGGATGTATATATACATGTAGATCTACACTGGAACTTTGAATCCCTATGTTCCCGGACAGCTGAAACAATGTCTCTGTATGTCTTGAAACCTTAATACCTAAAAAGGACTTAAAACCTCCCAACCCTAAACCCTATACAAACTTAAAGACTATAATAATCCCAAAATGAATATCTACATGTCTAGAGATAGAAAGACACAGCCCTATATAAACCCTATTAAACCCTATAAGCACTCAACCCTATAGAAACCCTATAAACCCCTATACTTATAAACCCCATTATATATTATATATTTAAACCCTATATACCTTAACTTCAATAGATTTCTATCTATAATATCTCCAACCATCGAAACCTGAGATCCTTTGCGAATTTTTTGTCATCGCATGGAAGATGCAATGGAAGATCCATGGTGCCCTGGCCGCTCGCTCCATGGAAGACCATGCATGGTGCCTTTAGGCCGCTGGTCCTGCATGCCAGGTCACACAACAAAGGCAAGCAGAACATGCTGCTATGGGATGGTCCTGCATGGTCTTGGGACTCCGTGGGCTCGTCCGTGGGCTCCTCCGTGGCCTCCTCCGTGGGCTCCTCCGTGGGCTGCTCCATGGGCTGCTGGTTCTGGGGCTCGTCGAGGTTCTCGGGCTCCTGCAGGGCATTCAGAAAATCCATGACTGCCCAGTCTGGCCAATTTGGAGACGGAAACGCCTCGTTATCATGGTCGCTCTCGTGGTCCGTTTGGCCCTCGTCTTCTGCAGCCCACCAATCCTGGCCCTCCTGGTTCACCTGGCCCTGGTCCTCGTGGTCGTCCTTCGAAGTGGCCCTGGTCCTGCCGTGGCTCATAGATCCGCAGCCCACCAAAATGGACTGGAACCAAGAGTGGCCGCAGCGGATGCAGGATCTGGCCTGGTGGATGTCATGGAGTGACACCATGGCCGCCTGGCACCTGGTGCACTCCACCCAGATCCAGTGGGTGGGCTCTGGATAGTTGAAGTTGGGCCGCTGGTTGGTGAACCTCGCCGTGGCATGCTGGACAACAGCAGTGGGTGGGACGTACCACCCGCAGGCCATGGTGAGGGCCGTGACCTGGTTGGCTGGCACCAATGGCCTTGCAAGCACCCATGGTGCAACCGCTGGATTTGGCATGGGTGCCACCCATGGCCCAAGCACCGGAGGGGCCTTGGCCGTGGAGGCTGTGGAGGCTGCCGTGGGCATGGCTGCCTTGGCATTGCTCTTGGGAGCGGCACCGGACATTATGGTGCAAAATGCAAAAGCAAAGCTGGCCGTGGATGGCAAAAGTGTGCTGGAGCACGAAAGGCTGCAGCACAGTGGCAGGATCAACAATTCGAAACTGTGTTTGTGACTAGACATACTTTGTGTCTACAGCTTTGCCAGTATACATACATAATTCTCTATATATCAAAATCTGTAGAAAATTTAGTTGTTTATATAAAGAAATACCTACATGTCTTTATATATATATATATATATACATATATATATATATATATATAGCAAGACATATATAGAAACATGTAAAGTGCACCTACCGAAAAAGCGAGCCATGAAAGGCGAAACTATAGCAGGGACTCTGGAAACCTGGAGCCTTGGTCCTAGATAGGCTTGGAGGCTTTGTGGGATGACATCTAGGATACGGGCCTTCTGACCACATATATATATATATATATATTGACATCTAGAAACATGTCATGTGCTCCTAGCGAAATAGCGAGCCATCAAAGGCGAAACCCTGTATGCTTGGAGCCTTGGGCCGAGATAGGCTTGGAGGCTTAAGGGGTGAGATATAGGCTACGGGCCTTTTGACAAATAAAGGCTTGCAACTTCTCTTTTTCACTCCACCAAGCCATCATGGTCCAAGTGGTCAGTCATGCCATTGGAGCCGGCATCCATGGTCGACAAACGACCGAAGCCAGACTTGCCCGCATTGCACGCAAACCTTCCGCTGGTACAATTTGTGGCACCACACCCAGCTGCTGCAGCCTGGTTTGGAGCAATGGAGTGCCAAATGGCCCCCAATTGGCTCCTCGAAGTTTGGCTCGAAGCCTGGGCCAAACATGGCCTGCAGCTGGGCCTTGGTCATGCCCAAAGTGTCCTCCATGGGGTCCATGGCCTCTGGCTCCACCGTGGTCTTGCTGCCGGCTGGCAAAACTGGCTTCTCCGTGGTCTTGCTGGCGGCCGGCTTCTTCATGTTCTGCTTGGAGACCGTGGCCTTGGAGTCCTGCTGGGCCTTCATGGCTTGTGCCTGCAGGGTCGTTATGTGCCCTTTAGATATCTAAAGCAGGACCCAAATGGAGACCCTGCACCGGCCTTCGGGGCCATCTTGGAGGGCTGGTGGCTTGGGAGCGCTATGGGGCAGGCCAACACTTGGCAAGAATGGCTGCAGCATCCGCACACCATTCAAGAATCTCATGCAAGGTCTCGTTGACTGTCTCTATTCTCTCTCTGTCTCTCTCTCTCTCTCTCTCTCTCTCTCTCTCTCTCTCTCTCTCTCTCTCTCTCTCTCTCTCTCTCTCTCTCTCCTCTCTCCTCTCTCTCTCTCTCTCTCTCTCTCTCTCTCTCTCTCTCTCTCTCTCTCTCTCTCTCTCTCTCTCTCTCTCTCTCTCTCTCTCTCTCTCTGCAAAGCGAACCGGCCACATTGGCAAATTAAGAAAGAAATGGTGCAAGCCACATCGGCCGATATATATATATATATATACATACATACATATAAGATGCAAGCCACTCTGGCAGTACAGATAGGGATATGTACATAAATCTGTATGTGTATGTATAAGTATGAACATGTATGTATATATATATAAAACATACATGCATAGCCTGTATTTATGGACATATAGTGGCCACATTGACACTCTGTAGCAAAACTTCAGAGATGCAACATTTACACAAACATATGTATACAGAGGTATATATCATATACATGTACATCTATAGAAATTTCTACACGATTGCAGAAAAAAATACATTCATAAAACAACTGCTTATATATATATATATACACATGTGTATATGCCTGCAAGCACATGTTTTCACACCGTCCAGGCATGCTCATGGCTGGTGCAGAAGCTCTTTGATTATTCTGGTGAGATCAGCATTGGAGCCTTGGTCACCATGGGTGGCTTCATGCACAGCCACCAGTTGAGCTCGAAGCCAGTTTTGGAAGGACGTGGATGCTGTGGATGGCTCCATGGACACTTGGAACTCCTCCATGGTCTCGTGGGCATGGAGGAGAAAGGTCCGCACCCGGAGGCTGGCACCGAACCACATGGGCACCCACTTTGGGTTCAAGCGGAGAGGAGTGCCGGTTATGCCGGTGGTGCCGCTGGTCCTTTTGCCCGCAAAGTGGTCCTGCCTGGCCGAGCATCTGCTGGAATGGCTGCCACCTTGGCTGCACTTCCTGCAGCATTTGGTTTGGCCCAAGTTGGCAAACCGCTGGCAGCCTGGAGTTTCGCATGGCTCCGGGGCGGCTGCAGGTGCAAGCTCCATGATGGATTGCTGTGGACAGCCTCTGGCCTTGTCTGGCAAACAGCTGCTGTGCATGGACGAAGAAGAATTATACCAAACATCGCACAATTCATGCATGCTGTCCATTCATGGAAAAGCCACATGGCACATGCATGCAACAATGCACCCCTGCCCTTTCGGGAAACACCTTTGCGAACCTTTCTTCTCCAGCAAAACTCTGGCGGCTGGCTTCAAAACCCGCCATGGTCTTTGGGTCTTTAAAGTGGAGCCCGCTCCCTTGGGGCTGCAAAAGCTCTTCACTTCTTGGCCCTCTTGGAAGGAGGCTCAGACTGCTCTTTGGCCTTGGCCTTGGCCTTGGCTTTGGCTTTAGGCTCGGCCTCTGATGGCTCTGGCTCGCCGTGGTCTGCTTCGGAAGCTTCGGCATGGGCCGCCAGGAACAAAAGCGGCTGGTGCTGTTCCAGCGGAGCAGGATTCTCCAAGCATGGGATGGTAATCCCAGACTCGACGACCGTGGAGTGAACCATGGTGACCTCGGAGGTCTCGCTCGTGGGCTTGCACCAGAAATATGGAATCAAGCAAAACGCACTGTCTGCTTCGAACTGCGCATTCTGGCGGAACGGCCCAATGGTCCAGCCGTGGCCGCCGTGCTGGATGAGGAGCTTCGTTTCCTTGGCGGTCGACTTGGCTTTGTTCACCGTGCCCAGTGGAACCAAACGAATGGTTTTGCGAATTGTCTTGATCGCAAACAACCCCTGCGGGTTCTGGCCGAAAGCGATGGTCTGGGCATCCACATGGTGCTTTTCCGCCGCTCTGTGGAGAGCCAGCTGGACCTCCGACCTGGCCCGCTCCTCCAACAGAAGCTTCGCCGTCATTCCTTCCCTGGCAAGATCCTGGGGGCACAACATCGGCATCATGGCCTTGGTGGCCTTCCACATTGGCAGCTTCTGCAATGGCACATGGACTTCTTCCTCACCTTGGAAGAGTGGCTTGTGAGTCATGGTGGCATGGTCGTCCGTGACATCCGTCAGCTTGAACACCTTGGCACCGTGGTCCTTGGTGGTGTACCTCAGCACTTGGCATCAAGGAATCTATCCGATATCTGCATATTCCTTGCCTATATGCTTATGTCTATTCTCTTACAAGGATATTCTGGCTATAGGCCAATTGCTAGCTTCCGCTCCAAGCAACAACTTGCCCAGTTCCATGTGGTTGTTTTGGAGCATGGCAATGGTCTTGTTGCTGGCCGCCAAGACATCCGTCACCTGCATGTTTGGAGTCATGCTGTGGTCCGCAATGGCATCGCCAGCCGAGCTGTCTTGGATCTCCTTGGTGTAGGCAGTCAAGATGGCTTGGAGAGATTGCCAGTGCTTGGTTTCCCGGCCTGCCCTTTGTTTGTTCGTGAGGAACAAACAAACTCTGACTGCAAATCGACCAAAGCATTTGGTTAAGTGGGACGCATGGTGGGTCTGCTCCACAAGAAGATCCTGTTGGACCTTCCAAGCCTCTTGGAGCATGTTTTCGGCTTGGGTAACTTGGTCGAGCATGCCTGGTGCCTTCAGTTTTTGGAGATCGTTGGTGGATAGGATGCGGCTGAACCCGTCTTGGGATTTTGGGCTGGTCAACATGGTAGCCCATGCCGCCACACGAAGCATGGGAAAGATGCACGTCGCTTGCTTGAAATCTAGCGACACCAGGGTGGACATCAGCTCGGTTCCCACCAGAAGTGTGGCATTAAACTGCTTCCCAAAATTGGCAAGGAAATGGAGGAGTGGAAACCCCTGGCTGCCGCCGCCGAAGTTCTGGACGAATTTGGCGATGGCGGGGACACTGGCACGGCATCTCACGTCGCCTTGGCTGGCCTGCTGGATGGCATCTGGAAGGCTCAAGCCCTTCTCAAATGCAGTGGCCACGTGGAGGGCAACCTCCAACTCGTTGATGGCTTTGGATATTGAGTTGGACGAGTTGGCAGCATGCTGAATAAAGTTGGGAAGTTGTGGCATGGCTTCTTCAATGGATGCTGCCAGCACGATCCAGCACCATCCTTGCTCGATCGCTCGCCATGCTGGGTCCGACTTCGCAATGGCGACGTGATAGCCCTCTGGTCCTTGGATGCCCGCCTGGAGGCATCGGAGAAAGGCAACACTGTGGCTCCCTGCAAGGGAGAGGAAGCCTGAGCGGCAGGGAACCAAACATCTACACAGGGCTTATATAATGGTCTATAAACACCAAACAATTTTCAAAACATTATAAGCATGCATGAGCCAGGTGCCTTCCTGGCCACTCACTGGTGCCAGATGGCCCTTGGCCTCAGAGCCCAGTTGGCGGTTGGCTTGCACTTGGGCAAGTCTCTTGGTCTCGGCAGTGGCCATTTGGGTGCAGATGGTCTGGCCGTCGAGCAGCTTGGGCTGGAAGCCGACACTGGTCATCTGGCTGCCATTGGACCAGACGTCGTAGTAGGACACCATGGACTTGCCTCGGTTTTCTGGGTGTACCAAGATCTGACTTGGAGTCAGAACTTGGTCGTGGGCAAGGCCATGTGTCCTTAGAAGTTGGACGATCTGGTCCACTTTCGTATTCACTGGAGCAGTCGAGGACATCATGGCTTCCACTTCTTGGACCACCTTCTCTGGCACACCAGCCATGGCAAGAAGCTTGGAGCTGGCCAAAAGTGGCAAAAGCAAAACTGGGCAGTCTGGGCCCAAACTGATGGTATAGAAACTTGACGTCTGGACAAAGCTTCCCTCTTACTCCATAATGCATGGCTTAGTCGCAGAGGCGCTTTTTTCAATCCCAAGCGGTGGGTCGCAGCTGCAGTGGTCGGAAGCCTATTACTGCTTCTTCTTGGCCTTCTTCTTGGGCTGCTGCATGTGGGCCTCCAATTCTTCAACTTTGGCACGAACGTGGTCGATGATGGCACCGATGGTGTTGCTCTCCAGTGGCACTGCCAGGTCTGCAGCCTTGGGCCGGCGGCGATCTTCTGGGAGCAGGCATGGAATAATGGTGTTCCCCACGTGGATGTTGATAGTTTCTGGGAGGTTTTGGATCTTGTGACGCCTGGGCTGCCTCTGGGGTTCCCCATCCTGGTCTTCGAAGAGTTGG